GGGGGGGGGGGGGGTCCAAGCCAGAGCTGACTCCTGCTGTCATGCTCCTAAGAGGAGCCCTTTCACCCTCTACAGACCACCGTTGCCTTAAGGCACCATCTCCCTCCAGAGCCACATGCATGAGGCACTCATCCCATCTGCAAAGAGCAGGAGGAAGAGGTGCCTCTGCCTCTCCTGCCCCTCCAACCCCCACCTTCATGCTGCCCAGACCACCCATGCCTAATGGGATTCGAGAGCAATGAAGGAATGCAGACTCAGACTAGATGATTCTTTTTTTATTACATCCAAAAAAAAAAAAAAAAGTAAATAATTTAGTTCTGAAAAAAGAAGAGTGTGTACTGTGTGAATATCCCTAGAGAGCCTCCAGGTCTCCCTTTTCCCTGTCCCCTGATTCTACAGAGGTAACGTAGCTCTAATTCTGGCACCAGAGCTGGGCAACCCACCAAACCCAGGCCTGAAGACTTTCCTCCTAAACAGGGGAGCAATAGTGATCCTTCCTGTTCCCTCATTCCTCTTGCCTTTTCCTCCATCCTTTCCAAAAGGGACCAGACATGGAAGGGAGGTAGAAAAACCACATGACAACCCACTTGGTCTGGTGTAAGGAAAGCTCAGGCCATGGGTACAATAAATTCAAGAAGAAAAGAAATAAATTAAAATGAAAACTCATGCCACCTCACACTCATTAGGATGGCTATTGTCAAAATGAAACACCAAACAGAAAATAAGAAATGTTGGCAAGGAATGGACAAAGTGGGACCTATGCATTCTTGGTGTAAATGTAAAATGGTGCAGCTGCAGTGGAAAACAGTATAGCATCCTCAGAAAATTAAAAATAGAACTACAATATGATCTAGCAGTCCCACTTCTGGGTATCTACCCCAAAGAATTGAAGAGGTATTTGTATATTCATGTTCATTGCAGCACTGTTCACTATAGCCAAAAGGTGGAAACAACTCAAAAGTTCATCCACCCATCATTAAACTAATAAACAAAATGTGGCATGTACATGCCATGGAATATTATTCAGCTTTAAAAAGGAAGAAAATAATGACACATGCTACAGCATGGACGAACCCTGAACAAATTATGCTAAGTGAAATAAACCAGTTACAAAAGGACAAATACTGTTTGATTCCACTTATATTAGATACCTAGTGTTGTCAAATTCAAAAGAGAAAGCACAACGGTGGTTTCTAGAGGTGGGGGGAATAGGGAATGACAAGTTATTGTTTAATGGGCCCAGAGTTTCAGCTCTACAAGATGAAAAATGTTCTGTGAATGGATGATGGTGATGGTAGCTCAAAAGTGTGAATGCACTTAATGCCATTGAACTGTATACTAAAAATGGTTAAGGTAGTAAATTTTATGTTGCATGTATTTTATCCCAATGGAAAAAAAACTAATCTCAGCAAGTCAGGGAGGAACAAAAAGCAGGCATTACTCATGACTCAGGCTGTGAACATATTATGATCTTTATTGTTATGTGGCCTCCTCTTGCCTCAATGCCACCAGGACAGAACATGTCTCAAGCTGACAACCACGAGCCTTACTAAGCAGCTGCCTGCCCCTGAATAGCACAGACATATAGGGATATTCTGACTCTACTAGATGGAAGTTTACAATCTAGTTGGGCAAGAAAGGCAAACAAACCTGAAGAGTGAAATAACAATTCCAGAAATGCTGCAAGGCTTGCCAGATGGGTGGTGTGGAGGATGCGGTGAGTTCTAGGAAGATGCCAGGCCTCTGTGGGTGGGAACAGCAAAGGAGGCACCAAGGTACTGAAATATGAGTCAGGCTTCAGATGCGGGAGAGTAGGAGAGAAGTGGTCCAGGCAGAGAGGGAAGAGTGAGCAGAGGCCTGGAGGCAGGGACACCTAAGGTATGTCCTGGGGAACACCCCAGCTGTGCCCTGGTAGCCAGACTGCTCTGGCTAGAACTGAGGATGTGTATGTCCTCAGATGTGAAGCCGGAGTGGTGTCTGAGACCCAGGAGTGGGTCTGAGGTGATATGTAAAGGAGTTGGGACATCACCTCCATAACAGGGAACTTCTGAATATCTTTGGAGAGATGCAAACAAGAATACCTTGGAAATTGTGGCTGATGAAATAGGAGAAGCAACGTTTTTAGGGCAGGAGGCAGGGGCTCTCAGCCACATTTCCTTTAAAAATATGCACCCTTTGCTCCAGCATAACAAGCCCCACCTTTCACTCCAGCAGAGGCATTTCTTTGGTCTCCACAACCACCCAGATCCCGTGGCTCTGGAGACACACCACCAGGTCCACAGCCAGCAGCACTCTCTTGCCCGTGGTTATAACTTGATGGGCCACAGCCGGGAGCCTCGGTGTCTAGGCGGTGTGGACTGGACTCATGACAGCCTAGGTCTTGAGGGTATGGAATCGGATGTGGGCCCGAGGGTGGGCTGGGACAGCGCTGAGGCTCCCCACATGGCTCTGGGCTTGGGCAAGGAGCTGGAAGGGGAATTGGCTCTGGGAGTAGAAGAGGTTGTGGGCGCTCATAAGGCTGCGGGCATGCACATGGCTCTGGAATTTCACACTGCACTCGGCGAGGACGTGGTGCTGGACGTGGTTCTGGACACGGTTCCGGATACAAGCAAGGTTCCGAAAGTCGCCGTGGTGGAGGACACGGGCGGGGTTCTGGACTTGAGCGTCGTTGTGGGCGTGAACATGAGGAACGTGGAGCAGGCAGTGGACATCGCTGCAGTGACGGCTCTGGACACTGGTCAAGACGCTGTGATGGACAGAAGCTTGGGAGTGGACGTGGCTCTACACGCGGCCTCAGCTCCGGACAGGAGGCACCCCAAGAGGGTTGTGGGGCACAGCTCTGGGAGCGGCGTCTGATGGGAGGAATCTGAACGGGACACCTCTGTGGAGGAACCTGCCTGGGGCAGCTGGGGGAGGAAATCTCTATTCGGCACTTGGGACCACATCTCTGGGAGCTGCCTGAAGTGGGACCTCGAGAACAGTGACTGCCATAGATGGGTTCAGAGCGGCGGGGAGGGGTGCAGTAGTTACAGGAATCTGGAGAGGATCTCGATGGCAGGCAGCTGCTGTAGCAGGGCTCAGAACGCCTCGGCGGAGAACAGCTGCGGTAAGAAGGCTGCAGCCTACTCGGAGGGAGGCATCTGCTGGCGCTCTGAGACCTACGCTGCTCAGTGAAGCTCCCATAGGAGCCCTGGGTCTGGTATTGGGGCGCACATGTGCGAAAAGAATCCCGGGACTGCCGCTGGGGGGCGCAGCTGCTGTAGGAACCCCGCGACTGGAACTGGGGGGCGCAGCTGCTGTAGGAACCCCGCGACTGGAACTGGGGGGCGCAGCTGCTGTAGGAGCCCTGATACTGGCCCTGGGTGGAGAATCTTCCCTGAGTTTGGCCCACGGGGGGACATTCTACATAAGTTGGGACAGGCTGAGGAGCTGGGCAGGGGACATAGGTTTGCACTGGGCGTTCTACATAACAAGTTTCTGTATAATAAAATGGAGCACATTCTACATAGCAAGTCTGAACAGGGTTTGGGACTTCACACTGCACATAGGAAACCTCAGACTGGTATGGAGCCTGGCACTGAACACAGGAAATTTGTGCCTCGCAAGGAGCCTGGCACTTCACCTCAGTGGTCTTAGACTGGCTTGGAGCCTGGCTCTTCACCTCGGTGGTCTTAGCCTGGCATTTCACCTTGGTGGTCTTAGACTGGCTTGGAGCCTGACACTTCACCTGTGTGTCCTGGGAAAGAGACGGAGCCTGGCAGGTCATCTGGGAAACTTGAACTGGGCATGGTGCAGGGCACTCCACAATTTGCATATCACAAGGGGCTTGGGCCACCAGCTGGCTATTGGCATAAGGGGACTGAGAGGGGAAGAAGGAGGAACCCTTGACACAGCACTGCGGGAGCGGCAGGCAATACTGAATCTGCTGCTGGTCACACATGGTCCTGGTGCAGGTGGGTGAGCAGGACCTGAGGATAGAGACACCAGGGTCAGGATAATGAGGGCTGGGGAGGTGGGGACAGGACCTAAGGGAAGACACTCTGCTTCTTCCCTGGACTTTTCTCTTCCACTCTCAATCTTTACCCCAAAATCCTTACTGACTTAGCTGGACCCAGGACTAGTTCATGAGACCTGTTCTGGACCTGCCAAAGGACATAATTGTACACAGCCAGGGTTGCAGGTGTCCAGGACATCCCCTTGGGAGGGTGGACATACCAGTGCCCAGCACCAGAGGGCGCTAATGACAAGAGGCTTCTCCAAACTTCCTCACCTCCTAAGTGATGGGAGTTAGCCCTACAGGAAATAGAAGTAACTCCTTGCTCCGGAGGCTGCAGCCCAAAGTGGGACTCCATGCCCACAGGAGCTTGGACTTCCGCACACACATGCACTGGCAGCACACATGTGTATGCAAACATGTAAAAATATGCATATGGGAATAAGCACTCAGGCACCATTTGCACTCACATAATGTCAAAGCATCCATTGGAAAGTAAAGGATCCAATGAGTTGTTGGGAAGCTCAAACCCGACATTAAATGTTTGTTTCTCTACACCCAATCTTTTTTAGATGAATTCATTTAAACTTGTACATATGCAAAAGCATGCACATACAAAACACACCTGCCTTGGAAAGGCTCAGGATCAACGTGGCAGCCTGCTTAGGCAGGTCACTGCTGTTAATCACCTGAAGTGTGACAGTTTGCTGGCTTCAGAAATTTTTTTTCCCGGACCCTCTTAAAGGCAGGGTGGAGTTACCTAAGATGGAGTAACCCAGAAAATACAAGATTCTTAATCCCAAGACTGACATTCAGCCACACTTAAAAGATCTACACAGCAAGAGCATTACAAACATGACCTGGGGGATTCAAGTGTACATCCCACCAGCACACATAGCCAGGGGAGAAAACAGGGGAGCCCCCACTCTTCTGCCCTCCCCAAATCCACCTGTTCTTGTACAGGCAGTCCAGTGACCAGCAAAGAGTGATTTGACAATTGGCTCATCCAACAAAATACCTCTCAATAAGCTCCAGAAATACTGAAAATGCTTCTAATGAAGGACAAAGCCTTCCACTTTCTATTTATAGAGAATATCTAAATACATATTCCCCTGGGGAAGGTAACTCTACAACACACAACTCTGCTCACAAGGTGTAAATTACTAAAGCATCTTCTCCAGGAAGAGCAGGTCCTGATAAAGGAAAATGATAGCCGAGGATGAGGCCAGGGTTATTGAAGGCAAATATACGGACTTCAAAGCCCTGGCTCTTTTCATAAACTCTACACATATCCTTCTTACATACCCTAAAAGCTCACCAGACTTTTCTCTTCAGGCTGACACACCACTCTTCCTTCACTCCCTGCTTCTGTCTTCACTGTGCCTCACTCATGTGAGTCTGGGCACCCCTTGAGCAGTCCTCCCACCCCAATCCCAGGACCCAGTGCCTAGACTCACCGTCCTCACAAGCAAGCAGTCATTCAGGCTGAGGCGTCCGGGCAGAGGCTGTCTTTATATAAAGGGTTCTGGACCTGACTGGAGCCATGAGACAACTGGTTGGCATCTGCCTGGCTCATCACCCGGGCTGGCATTCCTGCAGCTGGTTCCCTCCCTATACGCCTGTCCTTGCAGTCACCTACAAACTGTGGGAGTGTCTCACCTCAGTGTCAAAACTTCTTGGCTATGAAGGAGCAGATTCTTGCTTTCTTCCTCTTCTTCCTCCTATTAGTTTCTTCTCCATCCCTAGAAGACTTGGTGGTGGGGACGACAAGGAGTGACAAAGGTATCTTCTCTCCTGAAAGATGATTCTATCCCCTACCTTCCTCCTTGCCTCAGATTCTCAACAGATAGATATAAAAGAGGAAAAGTTTCCTAATTTGGAGCAATTCAAATTACCTCAAAGATAAAGGCAACTCTATTGAATGAAGAGAATGTGGGGTCAGAGCTGAATCTAATGTCCCAGGTTGGCTGCTTACAGCTATGTGACCTTTAAACGCAACCTGAGTATTAATTTACTCTTCTGCAAAATGGGCATAATTAAATCTTCTTTCCTGTTTGTTGTGAAGATTAAGGCAATTATTTTACACAAAATCATTTAGCTAAAAGTGATATTTAAAATATCCAACACCCACTCAGGGTAAATGCTGACAATAAGCAACAGGCACAGCTGGATCAGTGGGTACCTGCTACATCCTAGTCCTGAGCTGAGCAAATTGATGGCTGCACAGCAAGTGCTCAGCTAATGCTGTGGAGCAGTCCCGAAGGCAGCTCAGAACAGGACAGAAGTAATAAACTGGCATCCTGTGAGCCAGATATAGTCAAGATGGATATATTTTTATGTTTTGCTCACATAATATTACAATTAATTATTAATATTTAGAAATAATTTTACTTAAGATTCCAGACATCCAGCTTTTCTTCTAAAATCAAAAGATCTAGCGTGGGTGAACCTACCTTCCACCAACCTGGTTGACAGCTGCCTGTTTAGTTAGGGCATATATTTTTCCATTCTGCAATGCTCCATTATTCCTTACTGTATGTACAATGCAATTCAAGATGTATTTGTTGTCTTATTTTACTTATGCTCTTATTTTTCTTTGGTGGAATTAAAAGGATAGTGAAATAATCCTTCTGTGTGGATCATTTTTCCTTGTTTATATTACCCTCCAACCCTTGTAGGCATTTAAGATTGTGACCAAGTTTGTGAGAAGAAAGTTTAGATTTAGACAGATTTTAGGTTGAATTTGAGATAGAGTATTTACTAATGGGGTGAAAGATCCTTAGCTTCTGATGAACCTCAGCTTCCTTATCTTTAAAATGGAAAGAACGAGAAGGAAGAGGAGGAGGAGGAGGAGGAGGAGGAGGAGGAGGAGTTAGAAAAAGTGTTTGGATTATTGTGTCAATTAAATGGAAAAACTGATCCAAAGTACTTCTTTAGTGTCCTCATGTGAAGATGGAAGTGATAGTACTTACTTAACCAGGTTCTCGTAAAGATAAAATCAAATAATGGGTATGAAAGTGCTTTGCAACTACACTGCACATGCCGATTATGGCTATAAACTCCCTCCAATGGGAAGTCTGCCCAGCTCAACATGACTTCACAGTCATAGTTCTGGACCCCATCACTCACTCCGAAGGGGTCTCCAGATACCATTCCAGACATGAATAGGATCATAGATCACCAAGAATCTCTGGGGATTATTTGGTCCTGTGCTGGGACTCTTTCCATGGTAACAAGCTATTTCTCTGATCATTCACTTTAACCGAGGTGCTCTGAACTTGGATAGCCCTGAGACTTGATGTTCACTAAGAAGTTTATCAGGAAAGCTGTGAGCAAGAAACACAGAGAACATAGACCAGCTGGCACCACCAGACCGTGAATTATTGAATCCTAATGGCTGTGTCTCCCCGACTCATTTCTTGATGAAATGCATACTTCTTGAATGGAGAAACTCTCATTAATCTTCTTATGTCTGTATCCTGATATAATATAAGTCTGTTGATGGATGGAAGGACAGATAAGTGGAAGGATGGGCATGAAATTGGGCTTAGTTCACATTTCCTAAATCACTAGAGAATAACTTGCTATCATCCAACACAGAGCACTGCACTTCTTGCTTGTTACTTCTTGCTTCTTCCTTCTTACAAAGAGAAATGGAAGTTGGAGCAGAGGAAGGGCCCAGAAGTTAGTCTTGCAGGTGACAATGAAGCTAGGTGTCAGAATTTTCAAAAATGTGATTTCAGAGACTAGATATTAAGCTAAAAGCAAAAGATTTAACTTCTGACATTTTTTCTTCTCTGATGTGTAAGGCTATAGAATTAAAAAGTTGTCATTGGTTATATAACTGGAATTAGTACTTTAGAACTCGAGTACTGAGATTTTCTAAAGTCAGAAATAAATGTGGCATATTCTGTTTTTCTCCAGTGTGATCTAAAACTCCTCCAAAGGACATTTCTTATTTGGCAATGTCTTCAATTTAAAGTTTCTTTAGGTAGGCTTCAGCATGGCCTTCTAATCTCTGTGAGCCTATATATGTGTTTAGGTTTTTTGCTTTTTTGCTCAACTACCTCAATGTGGACAAAAACAGGCAATTATTTCCCCCTATAAAGTTCCTCCTCCCACAGTCCCATTTCAAACAATGGCCCATCCATGCGATTTTCAAAGGTAGAAACCTAGGAGTCGCCCTTGATCCTCCTTCTACCTTACCTTAAGATACAGTCATCACACACTGTTCATTCAGCTTCATAATTGCTCTCAAATATACCCCCTACTGTCCATCCCCACTGTTCCTCCTATATCTCAGGTCTTCATGATCTCCTACATGATGCAATATTCTCCTCATTGTTTTCTCTGTTTCCAGTCTTTTCTCCTTCCATTTAATTTCCAAATAGCCAGAGTAATAATCCTGAAAAAATAAAATAAAATAAAAAACCAAAACTGATTATGTTATCCCCTTTGCTTCCCATTGTCTACTGGGAAATGTTCAAACTTGTTAGCAAGGCATACAAATCCCTTTATAAAGTGGCTCCAATCTACCCTTATAGGTCCCTTGCATCATCACTATATCGCCACCCACCTACCACCCCATATAACATCAAATGAAGCCATATATGGTATTTTCTATTCTCTAGACAGACCTTGATATTTCACTATGGCAGATCTTTGCAAATGCTGTTTACCATTCTTTGAATGTCCTTTCATTTCTTCTCTACATATGGAACTATTGCTCATCATTTGACACAACCCAAATGTCACTTCCTTTGTAGTGTTCCCTGACTCCTCAAGTCATGATTCACTCTGCTCTGGCAACACATTATACACACCCATCATTGAAGTTCTCATGTGTTCTATGATTGTTTACATTCCTGTCTTCCATGTTAACTATGAGTTCCTCAAGGAAAAGAAGTTGTGGTATATAATTCTGGGTATCCCAGGAATAGACACAG